TCTGTCTTCTTTGCTATTCCTTCCATCCAGGACCAACTGCAGGTACTTCCTCAGCCTGACAAAAGGTTTTTCAGCCTGAAAGCTGGCATCCCAGGCAGCTAAGCTGAGCACACCAGGAGCCTTACAACTGCACAGCAACCAGCAAGCGTCAGGCCTGTCAAAGATGTGACAGCTCTGGGCTTTCCCCAGCCTGGACTGTGTGTGTGTGCGTGTGTTAGCTGAAAGTTATGGTGCCTCCTACCTGCCTTTCACCAGAGGATCATTGGTCCTGGCATTTATGGGGCTGCCGCACTGCCAGCAGTCCCACCAGGCCTCCCTACCCTGGCAGGGTGCAGTTTTAGTGGTCATGCCCAGGACCTGAGATTTCCTCCTTCCCCATAGCCCGATTCCATACCTCCAAGTTCGTCCTGGCAGGGGAACGAGCTTCACCAGCAGCCCTGTCCCCCTCCAAGGTGTCCCTGACAACAAGGTGCAACTTGTGTGCCACACAGCGGATGCCAACAAAGTTGGCATCATGGACCGCCTTGACCATATTGGCCCCATTATTGGTGACCATGAAACCGCAGGTGAGCTTGCCCTGCCCAGTGACCCACGCCTGCACCAGGCCTGACTGGTCACACTAGTGCCCTGTGTGGGAGAGGTAGACATGATCTCCACCCCGGCTGCTCCAGATGCCTGTGGTGAAGTGTAAGCCACCTGTGGACCTGCCTTGCGCAGCTCATCCCTCAAGTACTCCACGCATGCTTCATACAGGGATGGCACCACCTTGGTGGTGCTTGTAGGCACTTGGTATGATGGGACTGCAAGCACCATGAGCCGCCTGAACCCTGGCCACTCAACAAAGGAGAAGGGCTGGCCATCAACAGCAAGCATCTCCCCAATGCTCAGGGTGAGCTCGCTCAGCCTTGCAACGCGCCCCACTTTGTCCGCTTTTCCCCCACTGTTCCAGTGTAGCCGGCCTCTGCTTTGGAGGGACGGGAGCTTTGAAGTGCACAGAAGACTTCCCTTTGGGCATGCTCCTGCTGGTGCCAGGCTGAGGAGGAGTGAGAGCAAGGGGGTGGTGCCTGCAGAGATGCATCAGCATCCCTATAGTGGTCATATGTTTTGTTCCCTTGCCCCAGCTGGTTTTGGCTTGGCAGTGCAGGCAGATAGTGTACGCAGGATTGTCTGCCAGCTCAAAATAATCCTAGACCACACTACCCGCTCACTTCTGGGGTCTGGGTGCATCTGTGGATGCTTCTGCACTCCCCCCACCAGCAGGCAGAGGCACAGCAGGAAGGGGAGCAGATTCAGCTGAGCCACTTGCCTCCACCTCTACGTAAGCCTCCTCCAATGTACTTTCTGGAGAAGGAGACCCAGCTTGAAGGGAAGCTTGAGGGGTATTGAGCACACACCCAGCTGATTCCCCCTCTTTCCCCATAATTTCCCTTGCTAGGGCACTAATATCCAAATCCAGCAC